TCTGCATCAGACTGCGGCCGCTGGGTCTGGTAAAACCCACAGCTGGCAGAGAGCTCACGAAGCTGTCGACCTACCGAGTCACTGCTTTGTATCTTCTGCAAACTTCTACTGCAAACATATTTGGAAGAAGCAACAGTCGTAACAAAAATGCCCCCCCAAAACCCTTTTCCCAGTACACAGGCATGATTTTGCTGTAGTTTTGTATATCTTTGTAATGGCTGTAACCTAAACTTCAAAGCTCTAAATCAGCAAAAAAAAGGGAGAGGCAGGTCTCCTGTGAGGCACGGACTTTAAAAAACATTTGTATTTAAACAATATGGTACTTCTGCACTTAATGTAAAACTTAATCAGCAGTAGGTGACCAACTATTAACCACGTTACAGCTATTTAAAATGATCCCAATAGCTGACTTACACAACCTTAAACTTTCCTAAAGCGTGGGCACTGTGGTACTGTGTTTATTTTGCATAAATTGAACTGCATTAGAAAGCTGGAATTCTACAAAACTTGTGCTCATCTGCACAGAAGTCCTATGACCTCCGTCAGACAGCTTGTGAAAGGTTACGGGCAGCCGTACTGAACAGTAGGACACGATGGAGAATTCTTAGTTCCGCCACATGGCACAAATCTCTCAACCCACGTGCATCCCTCTTCATGGCAAAAACGAGAGGCCGGTGCCCAGCTACAGCTTTGTGAGGCTCGTTTCACAAACGCTCCTGAAGCACCTTGAGATCCTCGGGTGGAGGACACTATGGAAATGCAATCTTACTGACTGCAGGAGAAGTTGGGAAGAGCATCTGAAACTTCATCAAAAGCGGAATTCTCTGTACTCGGGCTACCTTTCGTTCCTTGGGGAGATATTTTAGAGCTGCTGTTCTACAGCACAAGAGAGATCCGAAAAACCACTGAGGAGTGGTTGAATTTCACCTAGGATCACAATGTTTTATTTTTCTACTGTCTACGATGAATTTGATCCGACATCATATGCTGGTAACTTTGATTTGAAACAGCTATATCAGGCTCCACTGCAAGCATTCTTGCTGCGTGACAGATGCAACCGTACATCCCTAACATTGCTGCCAGCTCCTCCATCATGTAGATTACATTACTTTTCTAGAAATTAAATGTACATTTATACTTATTAATGGTAAGAAAAAAAAATCCAGGGGGAAATAAATTTCATATTCTCACATTTCATATGGACAGTTCGCTTTTTTTCTTTAAGCAAATACCTTAGGGATTTCACCTTGGGCATTTATTTTTCATAAAAGAGAATGGCTATGGCCGCAAAGCCCAGCTTTCACTTGAGACTGATGTAATTAACAATCTAAGGCACTACCTGACAGAAGACAACAAAATTGTCCAGGAACAAGTAGATACCAGGCTCAGCCTCGTGTTCAGCTAATCTGGTGAAGGTTTACAGCAAGAATAATTTACTGCCTATAAGGGGACTGTATTAAGGGCCAGAACAGACTCACAGCAAAAGTCTCTTTCTGGCTTCCCTGTGCCGAACTCCACTCTAAATTAAACCAATATTCTTACGCAAACATACCTTGGAACTGACTATTTTATTAAGATTTCTGCTTTAATGGAATCATGATTTTGTTAACAAACTAAGTTCAAAGCCGTCATTTAAAAAAAAATATTTTAATGTTCTGGCAAGATGCCAGCTGCTCTGTCAGAACAACACGGATTGTGCATCTCAGGTAATAAAGCCTTACCTATTTCTCTGTAAGTTACCCATTTCCTTGCCAATTATAACATTTGGCTTTATTAACATTGAATCGAGGTCTTATTTTAACTTCATCCTGCACTACAGTGTTAAGAGAAACTGCAGAAATATTTCAGAGGTGCAAAGTTACACTTACGTTATTAAGAAACTAAGACTGGGATTGCTTTGATGCACACTGGCTATTTTCCAGAGCTCTGGGTATGACAAGGGTAATGTGCATTACAGTCGTACATATGCTACTGCAATACAGTCAGGAACGCTTTGATGCACGCTGGCTATTTTCCAGAGCTCTGTTGGGGTATGACAAGGGTAACGTGCATTACAGTAGCACATATGCTACTGCAATACAGTCAGGAAACACTGCAAAACCTGAACGAGAGCATTACTCCACAATGAAATTCAGAACACACAAAAAAGAACGAATAAGTGACACAAGCAAAAAAAAAAAATAATCTAAAAATCTCATCAATCAAGAAGCACCAATCCATATTCAACCACAAAGTACACTGCATGAATGGAACTGTTACTCCGTTCACAGGAATAACACTTAAAAATATACAGAACTGTAATGCTGGTGCATTTCATTTAGTGTTATTAACAGATTCAAGAATCGTTTTACAGTCCAATTTCTGTATTTCAAAACCTCTTATGCCACTTTTCTGTCTCCAATAGCATTGAATACATTCACGTTATTAACACAGTGCCAATAGAAAGAAGTGAGAACAATCATAGAAAAGCAACATTTCCGCACAGGATAGGCATAAAGAAGTCCATAAATAAATTCTCGCTTGTCACTGGTGCCGTCTAGGACTTCAGAACGGGTTCACGAAACCACCTGACATTACTACTAGAAATTAAACACGAAAATAAAAAGGAGATAAATTAGCAGGATCCATCTGCAGGGACGTCTGTTCCACTTGGAGAGTAAACAAGCTCTTCCCTAAAATATATGTAAACACAGAACAGCCTAACTGTTGTGGCATACAAATATAATCAAATCATTAACCTGCTTAAAAATACAAGCAGCAGTGGCACGCACTTTATATGAATGTATTTGGAGCTATTTTCTCCATAGAAACAGCAGTGCACAGAAGTGTGATATTATACCCAGGAAAGGTACCAAAATATTTTTTTAGAATTGTTGCAAACGGGAAATAAACTGCTTCCAGTCTCTCCATCCTTTACTGCCTTTGTAAACTTTGTTTGCCCCTCACCTTCGTTGGGTCAGTTGTTCTGTTGACAACTCCCTGAACTGCTGCTTTCTGGACTGCACAATTGGCTGTCTTTGTGTCTGAAGCTACAGAACTAATGGAAAAAGTCAACATTTGCGCAGAAAAACTAGCAGTTAGCATAGCTTAAAACCCTTAATAAGCAGAGTAGCATCTTTAATTTGGAGCAGTATCATCTGTTACTTGATATACACATACACATAAATTACAAGCCAAAGGATGCAAGACCATTACCCTGAAGTTGTTGTAATGTAAATATATGTGAATATGCACGTTTACATGCAAAAAAAGTGACATATAGAGCAGAAGCTAATCAACTAAGACTTCAATTCATTACTTTATTTTTTTTACATTAAAAAAATTACAACGTAACAAGGGTTTGAAAAGCCAAGTAAACCTGATTTCACACACGCACACACTTGCTAAGTCACAGGGTTCAACCACTTGAAGTGATATTTTCTGATTTTCATAAGGATATTTTATTAAACAATATACACATTAAGAGCCTCATGACAAAGCCAGACACACTTTTTCCCAATCTTTAAGTTGTGCAACTGAATATGCAAAGATTCCTGTGGAACTTCCAACTTCCCCCTCAGTTACACGAGACACAGTTTTGTTCATTTGACTGCAATTTCATTAGATGTGTCCACCTAGAAATTGTCCAGTGTTACACATCACCTCCCCCAAGCAAAGTGAACATATTACATAGTATTGCACAGTTTTGTTCGCAGGGCCAGAGATAATAAATGGATCCCTTAGTAATTTCACCCACCCAATGGTATAAAACCTGATGAAGCCGGAATCAAGATGCCACAAACAGTTACAAAGAAATGGAGAAGCGGGTCACTGAAAAAAGAAACTATAGCTTCTGTATACGTAAACTTTATAATGCAAGATTCTGCAGCACGTTGAGCTGCTTGAGGTGGGACAGATCATCAGTGCTACTGGCAAAGCAAAAGCACGAACAGGACAATTTTAAGGCAAGTCCCAGAACAGGGAGCTATTTACTTTCTAGGCACAATTTCAAGCTATGCATCAAGGCTCCTGCTTTATCCTTTATACTGTCAGTAATTTATAGAACTGATTAACAATAATACAAAAAATAATCTAAATTGAATTTTTAAAGAATCCACTTTGAGCTGAATTTCATTACTTGCAGCTTGTATTTCATTACTTGCAGATTTATAAACATTTCTTAGCACTACTGTTGTTTGTCAGGCCCAAATAAAGCAGTTCTAAAACTATATTGCTCTCATTTCTTGAAAGTAGTTTTGGTTGGAAACCCGTTAAATTCAAAATAATCCCTTCTATTGCAGATCCTTCTACATTCGAGATCCGATGTACTTGAGAAAGAGGCAACCTCCCTCATTCCTCCGATGCCTTTGTTCAAGGGATCATTAAAAGTTAACAGCTTTCCTTCTATGAAAAGTCTGTACAACAAAACAAGGGGGAAAGCAAGACCCTACAAAGACAACTGTTTTCAGTTAATTTGCTCCAATCTGCAGTACATTCGTCTTAATCTCACACAGGAGGATACAGCCAACTGGTCCCACTTACCCCTGCACAGAGGACTAGATAAAATCCTCCAACACCTACACTTGAGTTCCTCTAGAATCAATGCATTAAGAATTGGAGACGCATTCCTGAGGGCAGAATTCGGCCCGCAGCAGTTAGTTAAAAAGTGTTGTTGACTGAAGATTTAGAATTTACCTAAATGCCATATGAGATTAACACTGCCCAACACAAGACATGCTTTTGTGAGCCCGGGAAGACATTTGGCAGGGGTGTAACAGTGCCTCTGATGTGTTACGCTGTTGTGTGCACCAGTCCTTTGAATCGCTTGCATATGAGGAATGTGTGCCTGAAGTGGGACACAAAAGTACGGCTCTGTTTATTAGGACAAGCTGAAATATAAATTAAAACCGAACAAACCACTATTCCCTGAAAACTGGATTTAGAAGGCTAGGTCTCATTTGAGATCATCTTTCACCATAATGCTCCTCCTTATGATTGACAACTGCACCTAAGTATATACTTTTTATAAAAAAAACCACACAGGTAATTCCCCAAACGTTTATCAAATAAAAAGGGTTTAACAAAAATGCATAATTAATCTCATAAAATAAATTACAGTAGCATGACAACATTTGGCTTCTTTAGTGTGACCACGTGCTTTTCCTTTGTTATCTTGCTGTTAAGACCATTACAGATCCAGTTCACGTCTCTGAAAGTTAATGAGATGTCTGTGACGATAAACGTATAAAACTCTGCTTGCTACAAGCAAATGTCTGATATCAGTTTCACCTGGTCACAGATTATATGTAGACAGCCTTTTCTGGCCCCAAATAAATATTATATAGTATTCTTGCAAGTTCCAGCATAATTAGACTCAAACAGAAAACTCGGGTCCTCCTTTCTTTGCTCTGAGTAGAAGTCGCCTGATTCGAAATCCTGCAAAAGGATTGATCCACAGGAGTGAAGGCTGACCCCCAAAGACAGATTTCATTCCCTCCCAACGTAGTCTCCGCTCCCATGTTGGCTTTTCACTCTTCAGTCTTTCAATCTCCTGTATATAAACAGAGATGCACTGTTAAGACCAAAGATTAGTGAAGTCTAATAGCAGTTATCAAAACTGATGGCTATTTTGCACTCTTTTAATGTACAGCGAGTGAGCGGACTAGTTTCTTACTACTATTTATGTAGTAAGGAAGAAATAAGAATGGTTGATTTAGCCCTGTGGAAAAGGCAGAAGACTTAAAACATACAGTGTGTAGCAGAAGGTTGGTCTACCTCTACATCTTCCCCCCCACCCCGTCCCCAAACTAAAAGACCAGACAAGCTGACGTTGAAGTAGAGGATCTGCACACAATATACCTACACTAGGAGTTGTTTACCCAGTTAATGAAAGCAGGAAATAAGGCTTCCAAGAAGGCTCTTGTACTGCAATTACTGGAGTTAGGCTTGCTCTCCCAAATGCATTATTTTGATGATCACTTTTTGCACTTCCCACTAATGAAGGCTGGATATTTACCAATCGTTACTCTCCAGTACAGAAGTACACTTGTAAACAGCCTCGCATGCAGAAATTCTGAACAGCCACAAGATTCAAATTCCTTATGTTTCCAGTTAATTATTCGTCACAAGACATCCTCTCAAGGCTTAACACTGCAGATCTAAGGGCAAGGGGGCCATACGTCCAAAGTATGGTTATACTCTCATAAAGTATATCACCGTAGAGGAAAGGGTGAAGGGCTGATACAAGATAGCCAGTTTAAGTGTAAATCTAAGAAAAGCAGTCATTTCTCACAGCACACATCGGGAGTTTGTGACAGCTGAGAAGTGCAAGTCCAAACTGAAATCAGAAGCTGTGCAATCTTTGCAATTGAAAACCTAATTGCAAAGTTTATGTCAGAAAAGCAAATAATGCAAGAACTTCTATTAGAAAGCAACTCCCAGGAAAATATTTCAATCCTTACAATGGTAGAAATTAAAATGATGAGCTATTTCAGATTTGGGGTTTTCTCCAACCCCATGAGCCTCCCCTCATGCAAATAAACCAACATCTAATCACATCTTAGAATAATTGTTAAAGCAAACACAAAAGTAGAGGTCTTTACCGTTTCATCATTGCATATTGAGTGGATTTGGGTGCCAAACATAACTGCAGTGAAAGTGAGAAACAGAAAACCCTCAAGGCACAAGAAGATCATCAGGATCACAGTTACAGGTGGGGAGAAGTCACTGCATTCTGTGAAAATGACACATGTAGTTATAAAAAAAATTTAAAAATCTATAGAGCATGTTCATACTGAGACATCCCCTCTTCAAAAAACAGCAGTAAAAGCTAAATATCTGACACTTGAAACAACATTTCACAATTATAATAAACTTTAATTTCTAGCACTGCAGCAGCTTTATTTGCTACGCAAGGAAATAAAGAATTTTAAGGAAGTAACATTTTTGGCTTCCTATAAAGCACATGGTACTGCATTACTGCAATCCTGCCTCAATATTCCAAGGTCATCAAATAAATGTTTGCACATGAGAGGATTTAAGTACTCAGAAATTCACATATATAAAGATGAGAGCAGCTTGAAGTTTTGCGCGTGACAAATGCTGTAAAAACTATCACCACTGTCAGCTCTGACTTGCTAGTTAATCCAGATGTTCCATTTTCCTGTGATTGCTCTATTTTATTTTATTTTTCTGATTCACCACACCAAGTAATCACATTCTGACTTACAATTACAGTCATATCTCTGGAAATCCTCTGATCAACTGATTAACTCAATTATAGTTAAACAAAGAAGAAATGGGATAGTATACAGGAAGCAGAATGTTTCAAGTAAAAATGGGCTAAGATTCCACCCATTTAACGGAATATTCAGCAGAACAGGGATTTCCCTGTTGCTTCAGGGACCAGGAAGAACATGTGATCAACGATCTATCAAAAGCACAAGATGAGCTCTGGCACACTGTAACATTAAGAAATGCAAGTCAGAGCCCTGAACAAGCAACTAGTTTAGGAAATTTCTTTTCTACAGGAGCCCCACAGTTGGCTCCAGTAACAGAATGAGGGAGAAATTTGTTTAAGTTTCAGCTGTCATTTACAGAACTGTGGTGGGACACACAAAGCCCAGCTGGCAGTTTCAGGTAATGTACTGCTGAGGCAGTTGAGGATCAGCAATCTGCTGCCTTCCTGTTACAGGGGTGGTAAATTTTTACTATGTGGAAAGGGAGTGAGAATGCCCTTGACAGCCACAGCTCTTGCAGTGAAGGACTAAAGGAAAAAGAAGGGGGGAAAAAAAAGAAAAAAAAAAAAGATGGTAAACAGATATGAAACATTTTCAGGACCTCACTTTAAAAAGATCGAAGTCCTGTAATGTTTCATACATGGGAGAGAAATAGGTCGAACACTACGACTTTCCCTTAATATCTACTAGATTATGAGAGTGAAAGTTAAGTACTTGCTTACCAGTCCACTGCCCTCGGACACAGGAGAAAAACTGAAACCCACACAGTATGAGCGCATGAGCTGAAATTAGGGCTATATACATCTGGAAATAAGAGAGAGTGCTTACTTTTAACTGCTGCCAGGTAGTAAAGCAGATATTCCTTTCAGCCAGCCTTCACCACTGCACAGTGAATATACTTTCCAATTTCAATTTTTAATTCAATACAACGATGTAAAAAGAAATTCTAATTAAGTTTGAATCTAAAAACATGAGCAACAATGAAAGTTTAAGGATTAGCTCCCTAAATAACAGAACCATTTCACTAATTGTTACTACATAAAACACAGCAAAATTAAGATAGATTACAGTAACAGCACTTTACAAGATTAAAATGAGTATGAGTAGAAATATCTTCCTGCTTGGAGAATATCTTGCATAGAAGGAAAAAAACCCAACACAAAACAATTATGACCTTAAGCCATTACTCACTACTAAGCACAACCAAAATTATTATAATCAAGGTAGATTCATACTGAGATCAAGCTGCTCTTGCTTTTCGCTTACCGTAAACAGAACAAAAAATCTCTGATTTTTCTCCCCCACGCAATTATTCACCCATGGACAGTGGTGATCCATCTTTCGAATACATCGTTTGCAAATACTAAAGGAAGGGAAGAAAGACTTCTGTTGAGAAACAATACTTCGCATTTTAATGTATAAACAAGGGTACCCGGTGGTCATAAGATCATGTACTGAAATCTATTTTTTTTGAAAAAATGCAAACAGTGATTTTACTAACATTTTATTTGCTCACTTAAAACAAAGCTTTTGCTTGGTATAAAACTGTGTAGGTAAGATACTCTTCATGTAAGAAAAATGGTATTAATAATGAGAATCATTACCTATCCAAACACACAATCAACCGAACCCAGCAACCATGTGACACCTCACTTCCTCAACCTAAAACAAAAATATTGAGACTATAAGCAGCACACATTCTTTGCATATTTGTTAACGAACACTTAAACGCTGTTCTTTGCTAGTTCTGCAAGTAATTGCTTCGTTTCTGCCCAGTTTTAAGTCAAGGTTATTTCCAGAAAGAAAAGTCAAATATTTCAGTAAGTCCATTTTACATCTGCCAGGCCATACAGCACCAGAGGGCTCATTTCTCTTATATTCAGGTCTATCTGCAGCCAAACATGAACAGTTATACAACAGAAACAGAAGACTTGCAACACGTGTTGAAGTTCTTCCATAAATCAGTAACTTAAGTAATGCTGATATTTCATTTTCCTAGCTTTGTACTTAAATAAGCCACACACTCAAAGGGCTTCAGGTTTTCCTGCAGAACATCCAAAATATTAAACATTTCATTTCAGCAGTTACAAAACCAAATGAGCCTAAAAAATGCAGGCACTATGATTCAAAATCCTTTGTTTTTAACGCGTGCTTATTTATGTATGGTATCTATGAGGGCTGCAATGACAAGCCATGAAGTAAAGCTACATGATTGTAACTAAAGTGAAGAAAGGAGGGTGCGTGTGGGGAAAATCAATGCTCCGAGGCATAAAATATTTTTTAAGTCATTGCATATGCTTGATTATAAGGTTACTCAGCAAGCGGCAGAACATACTCCTATGCAGGCTATATGAGAGAATCCCAAATCTTTCATTGCTCCTCTGAAGCTCCCTTTGCCCTGAGCTATCATAACCCAGCCCTTATGTTCCCACTGCCACTTGTTTTACGGACATTAAACACCATTCATCCTCTGATGCAAATTACTTTTTAAATACTACCAGTTACACATGAAAATCCCTATACCGTAACTAAACACTGCAGCCATCCTCTAGTGCAGAAGAAACAGGTATCATTCACGAGAAGGCATTCAAAAGGCTCTCCAAAAGATTTTTATTTCACAGCCTGCTGCCTGTTCAGCCTCTCACTAATTTCCCGAGCTCTGTGGGTAGGTGAGCCAACTCCAGTCACCACAACCATGCAAGCCTCCTGATGTAACACAGAATATATACTGTCACTCTAAAAAGAATATTAATGTGAAGTACTGAAAAAAAATCATATCCAGACTCAATCAAGCCAAACACTGGAAGATGTGAGGTGGGCAGGACACACTTTTGCTCATTCAGTATTTCTCACAAGCCCACGCAGAGCTCTCCAAGACATCAGATGTCTGGAACCCTGCCGTCATTTCTAATCTCACACCACAATTCAACGAACACTTCCAGCCAACAAACTTGCAGCAATGCTTAAAACAGTGGTTCTGCCTTCTTCCTACCCCGTCACTTGTATTCTATTCTTTCCTTCCCCTGTCCAAGCACAGATGTTCATGTGGCAAGAGTTTTGGGAAGTCACTCCATTAGCTGCAACCTGGGTCACTTCACTGTGCATGAACACTCACGCCTACACAAGAGAAAGGAGCAATATGGTAGTGAGAACAAGCAGCTGTGGACAAGGGAAGGTCTTCTCCAGCTTGGCACTACTGCTGAACGCACTCAGGCAACTGCAGGTGCAATTACAGTTTTGCATGCCAAAGATAACATTCAGAAAGACAAAGCTAATGGCTTAAGAGAAATTGGTCTGGAGAACAGAAATTCACAGGAGGACTGATGCAAATATCTCAGTGACTGGATTCTGAATAACAGTTCCCCACACACAAATGCAGGCACTCAGGATAGGCTAGAAATAATGACAGCTGTGCTCCTTCAGTGAAAATGAAATAGCACTCACTCAGGATAAGACTGTTACTTATGCTGAAAATGTTAACCGCTTAGTAAAATCTCAGTTTAGTGTACTTCACTGAGGCTAGATACTTAGCTGTAAATAAAGGTTTCTTGTTCTTTTTCCCATCACTAATGTGTATTATGAAACTATTTTTCTTCCTCTAAAGAACTTCTGCTGCAGTGTTGCACAACAATTTTCATAACTACATCATAAGAGCCTCTTCTGTTAATAATTTACTACTCAAAACATGCACTGTGGCTTTGAGCATAACTATTTCCCAACAGGAACCAACTTCAATTTCCATTTTCAAGTCTCTTCTATCAGCAAATTGCCACTTTGACTACTTGGGACTAGACCATCCTTTTAACGTCCTTGGAATGGGTTTGTAAGCCAATAAAATGTTGGCAGTATAATCAAACAAACCTTTTTTCTATTCAGTACACTTCTGCAGTGCTAAATCTATGGCAAAGAATCAGATTCTGGTAGCTCATCTATGCAGTATGTATTCAACACTCAGAAAAAAAATCACAGAAGAATAATTCGTTTTACTTAAGAAAAGTTAACAGCAACTATTAGTAGTGTGTATTTTAGGAGTAAGAGAAACAAAGGCAATTAAACCAGATATCCAACTGCTGAGAAAAACATGACACCAGGCTTACAAAAGGATACACTCTCAGGGTCTAGCTTTCTCTTTCAGACGTTCTGTTAAGCCTGTTATGCACTGTGCAAGCATTAAAACGCATCCTTTGCCCTTAGATGGAACATCTCACAGTGTATTTCACCAAGGCATAGAAAAGTAAAACAATTCACAAGACATGCAAAGCTAGCTCCCTGAACCAGTGGCTAGTGAAAACAAACCCTTTCAAAGCATCACAGATTTCCTTCGCTGTAGACACTACCCATTCTTGCTCTGCTTTAACAATAAATGCTACTCAAATTCTTGCTATAAACAATGTATTTGAAGTCCCTACTTAGCTTATTTTTATTCTTCTTCCATGAAGAAATAATAATTTTTCAATCAACACCCCCTTATCTGGGATCACAGGCTACTGGAACATCCAAGACAATATAGTGCCTGCAGAGGATGACGGACCCGGGGGACCCGAGGGACTCTGCAGGGCACAGAGCTGCAGCGACTCTGGGCTCTCCAATACTCCAACTTCTTTACTCATATGTTCAACATAAGATTTCTTCACTTAGGCCTGCTTCCAAATTAGTAAATCCTATCGGGACCGCATATGTGGGAAATGCTTTACAAAGATACCTGCAAAGACTCCGTAGCAGCCAGCCTAAATCTGAGATGAGAAAATTAGCAAGATCCAACCCCGCTCAGCAGAGGCTCTCAGGTGTCCCTTTACCGCATCCCACGAACACAGTGCCAGGACATCTGAACAGACTGCACAAAGCTGTTTTGGATCCCCAGAGGTTAACAGTTTATATTCTGCCACAAGAAAGCAGCTGCACAGCTTCCACCCCCAGGCCCAGCGAGCAATCGCTCCAGCTGCGTTCATGTAATGCTCTACTCGAGCTAATAAAGCCACTCAGAACCAAACTCATCGCACATGAAGACAGGCCTGGTATCTGCATCCGTGCAAAAGCTAACATACAACACAGATTAGCTAAGCGAAGATAATTCTATACTTGACTATTTATACACGAAACTTTTCCCTTCACACTCCAGATACAAAAACCCACTCACATCTGAGAGAAGAGCAAGATTTCAGTGCCAAGGCAGAGTATTTATAATGGAAATGGCTTCTCAGCCATAACTTTCACACAGATAAGTGACATACACCAAGACATTTAATTTAGAAACCACAAATTTACAGAATAATTTGAGAGCCCTGACAAGACTTCACTCTGTTCTTTTGATGGGAACTAACTCAGAGACTTAAATTTAATACACCACACAATTCAATACACATCACTCCTCACACCTAGACAGAGCCACCAGGATCATTTACATATTTATGTAAGTCTTAATTATGCAGGCATATCTATTTTCAACTCTCACACAATAAACACTACAAACGCATATCCACAGTGCCTGAAAACTCAAAAGACTGAGAATTAAACATGGATACATTTACTATCTCTTCCATAGCACGTTAAGTTCAAGTTATCATTAATTCTGTCCTTATAAAAATAAATCTTCAATAAGCAGAAGTGCATTTAAACAATTATGCGTACAACTTTGGGAAAATAATCTGCCAATTCACATATAACTTCAAACGAAGCACTACGCAGGCAAGAATACACAAATTAAAGTGATAGTTTAAAACTAATCTGTATTTTCTTAGTTTAAGATTGAAGGAGTAATTTCCTAAATAAGCTTCTATCAGAAATTTCCTTGTGATTCTTCCCTTTGACCTGCATTACCAACAGTAAGGCACAATAATTAGAATGATGCAGAGGAAAAAATATTTACAGATCAAGAAGTATTTAAGACACCACGGTATGAATATTTTCAAAAACTCTCAAGTCTCTTGCTTCTTTCCCCACATCCACATTCACTTTTGGCCACAGTGGATAATATTTACAAATACTCTGCAATGTATGAATTTGAAAGTTTACTGGATATCAGACGAAATTTACGGGAAAAAAAATTAACACACAAGTATCAGGAACAGTATTGCAAGACTCCATATGCCTAACTGCATTAAAGGAAACTATGGCATACCTGCAATGGTGTGCACGTTCAGGTTTGATACTACAGCACTTCGGACATTTGTAGATCACTTCTCCTGGTTTCAGTTGCAAATTATCCATGTATTCTTTAGTGGCATTTCCTTTGGGTACAGCCCCCTGAAATCATTTCAATTAAAGGAGAGAAAGTGTCTTAAATGGTATGAGAGTGTTTAAAAACACATTTTAGAGACTTCATATCAGTAATCTCAGGAAAATTGCTGAATTAAGTTCATTTACTCAAAGTTAGTCTGCCATAAGCCAGAATCATTTTCAAATGAATAAATTACCTCTGCTTGACCTCAAATGCAGTTTCATTTTGGCAAGACCCATCTATAGCATAATTCTGATAGAATCTGCTGTCACCAGCATACATAAAATCAAGAGGAAGACACATCTTTACATGCTGATAGAAGCACTACAGGTACACTACTTGCTGAGAATTTACTCTGAATGAGCACTACTAAAAACATTCTTACAGCAGCATATGTTAATTGTTGCAAAGTGACATTATTAGGCCAAGACACCCACAAAAGTTAAATCAGCAACAACTACTTGAAAGATGCTATTTCAACTCTCCGAATCCAAGATTTAGCCACCTGCCCCATCGTACGAAAGTTTTTGAGAACCAGCAGTCATTCCTTTTTCCTCTATACTTAAGCTTTTAGCTTGGACACTATCACCATGAATCATCACTGCCTTCTTTATTCTACAACTAGTATCCCCTGCCGCCTTCTGCTACTGTCAAAGTTTGTGTAGCTACACAGTAAACAGCTGACGGAACCGATGCAGAAGAAAAATAATCCATCAGGAAAAGAAAAAATTATCTTTTAGTGATCAGTTCTCTGAGCTGTTCACCACAGAGCTGCATTGGGAGCCATTTCAACACGATAAGGAAGGTGAGGAATGGACAGGAATAGAAGGCAGGATTGCTTCTTCCAGTAACAACATTAATCTAAAGCCTCGCAAGATCGGAATCTAAATTTGGATTAGTAAGAAGAAAATAATGGAAAGTACCACTGTCACCTTGTTTATTTATAGAGCTAAAGGCTTGTCTGTGACAGGAAGCAATTGTGAAATAAACCAAGATGTGAAATAGAAGTGCAATGGCCTTTCTGTAGCAAGTCCTCCAGGCCAGCTCACTTCACGCAGGGATAGCCTTCTCCAGGTTGGCTTAAATCATTTGCAACATTCTATAATTATTTCTTATTCAGAAAAAGCCCACTGGCAACATCATCACTTTACACAGACACCTTAAGGAAGATTTTGGGACAGAATTAACACACCAGCAGGCACTTCAAATTCAATTGCAAAGCACCCCTCTACTTAGGCAGAAAGTTTTTGTTGCCTCTTGCCCGGAATAACAATCTCATGTTTGTACTGCCCGAGACACAGCCCAAGTTCTGCCCCAGCTGAACTCTTTGGCTAAGTGCTGCTTCAAACTTGAGCCAGCTGGCTTTCGCAGGGATGCGAACTGAAAGAGAGTTTCTTAACTGATGAAGTGTTTTTTGCAATATAAATGTTCTCACTGAAGTTAACACTTTGGTGTAAACAAGGTGAATTATCTCACAGAGAACTCCTAAAGCACAAATTTATCTTGTTCCAGGTAAATTTATGCTTATAAAAAGACATCTCACATTCAGCTATTCACCTGTCACTAAGGATGATAGCTTCACGCCATGCTTTCAGCATTTTGCTGATAAAAATATGCTCTATTTAAAAAACATCTTCCGTAGTCTCCAACAGTCACCAATTCCTTTCAATGAAAAAAAATCTTTTTTTATAGTTATAAGAGTAAATTTAATTCACATATGTTTTGAGGCAGTTCATTCCTTTTTTCCTTCAATCTTAGTTTCTATCACACAGTCACAGCTTCAGTAGTGATTCATCTCTATTTCTATCATACTTTATCCATAAAGAACAACATAGGTCTAGAAAGACACACAGTTTTACCAGGACGTATTTTTAAACAATCTATCCTTAAGCCATTAACTTTATTAGCTGTCACAGGCTGTAGAAGTCAACATTTCATCATTGGGTGTGGTCTCAGAAATAAATGAAAGACCGAGAAAACCATTAACTACAACACCCTGCTGGTTTTTTGAACACTCCCATAACGTCTATATACACTGTTACTGCCTCAAAAACCTGGAGTAAATAGATGTTTTTCCCCTCACCCCTCTCTCCCCAGACTTATTCCCTAAAAAGAGTAATAGATTTTAGTACAAAATAAACAATTTAATCTCTCGAACTCTTGAATTGAAAAGTCCTAAGAAATTAGTACTTTCAAGACCACCTACACTGTTCCAACATGGGTTCAAGGTTCAACTTAAACCTCCCTTCCCGCTGACTCCAAATACCTAAACACAATAATGCATGAATCATGTAGGACAGTAGTTCTTTCTTTATATCAATACGTGACTGAGATTTTTCTCTAAAATCTCTTTCATGTGCCATAAATGGAAGATACATTTCAAATGATACAACAGGATGAAGCTACAACCTCTTATGAAGTTTTGAAAATACATCCGACGAAAAAAGAAAGGAAAAAAAGGACAGAAAAGACTAAAGGTTTATTAGCTTCTTCAGAACCTGGGTTATATTTAACAAATAAACTGTATTTCTCATGAGCCCACCTCTCCCTTATAAATTAATTTTATACTGCCTGCTCCTCAATTTAAAAATTATTTATGGATGCATTAACAGAGCAACGGGAAAAGTACAGACATCAACCCTTCAATTTGAGGGTTCTGCATCTAACAGTACTTTTCCTAGCAGGAAGAGACTGATACCACTTCTCCAAATTTCTCTGCAGATGATGAGCTACAGGAGAGACCAATCCAACGTCAAGGAACGATCGCATACTTACTGGATCCGTTAGCATAGTTCTCAGATGCGATGACAAAGCTAGTACTGCCAAGCAGTTAAAGAGAACACCGTTGATCACAGAGTACCAAAAGTCTTTGGAAGGCAGCAACATGACAAAAGTCACTACGAAGTCTGCATAGACAACCAGAAGCCATGTCATTATAGCACAGACCATACCACAGCCATCTCGGATGAACCAAACCCTCTCTGCCATGTCGGCCTCTGAGGAAGAGGAATCATAGCTGTCATTTTCAGCAAGAAGCGGGTGGTGCTCAACATCACGGAATCTGTGCCCTGATGACTGCATGGTTTTCTGGCCTTGCCCTGCAGGAAGCAAAGATACCAGTATTACGCATGAGGAAATTGGAAATACAGGTCGCTCTCATTTTTTCTTTTGGTCAGGTAAAACCTACCCAGGTTCAAAATAGATTACTGAGTTTGGGGTTTTTTTTTATCAAAATTCTATGACTACATAAAGACGAAATATTTCTGTAATCAAAAGATAATAATTTGCAAAGTTTCATATCAAAACCTGAACAATTCTATGACTACAGAAATATTTCATCTTTACGTAGTCAAAAGATAATAATTTGCAAAGTTTCATCAACAATTTTGTAAGCCATTTACTGAGTTTTATAACCCCATAATGGCAAAGTCTTCATTAAACCACAGATGTGTCTCAGAAAACAGCAAATTATGGCACCAGACTTGACTTTCAATACTGCTCCAGCAACCCAGGGAAGAGCAGAAGGAAAAAACAAAATGGAAACAACAAAATACAGAGCAAGTTAGAAATCAGTTAACTTTGTTGACAAAAGTACTATTGTGTTGAAAAAACCACAAACCTTTACAAATATATTGTAATGGTCTCAGATCAGGCCAAACTTAAGGGAAACAAATGGCAGTGGTTAAATCAGCATGGCAATGAATCAGATTTTCAAAGAACACATTAATTACTTTAATTTCATGAAAACTCTTTTAGGGCTTTGTTGTTGCTCCAATGTGGAACAAAAACAAGACTTGAAACCTTAATAGTTTTCATGAAAACAGAATTATTTTCCAGACATCTCTAACAAGCAGCGATACCAAATGGCAGAACCAAAGCGGTATCAACAAACAGGAGACAAATTAAAGCTTAAACATTATGCATCAAGAATAGCCTGCTACTTTAAAAGTATACTGTGTTCTAAAAATCATATTGATTCATGCTATTAAAGGACATGTCCGAGGGAAACTTGAAAGCATTTATATTGATCGATGACAGTCACGAAGAAGTCTTCGTTTTTCCCCCTTATTAATGGCAGCCTATATATGACTGGTAGGAATTATGGCACTTCAGTTTACATCCCGAGACTTTGAATATATACCTTATATGCTGAGACCTAGATAAACATATTCTGCCTTGTAAATCTTTCTGATTCTTAACTCTTAATGCTAGAACCAGGCAGGAATAATCCAAGAGACTAGAAATGAAAACAAGTATATGCAGTGTAGGAATCCCAGAGTAACAGCTAAAATAGCTAGCTGGGATTCTCATAGGAGAGAGCTAAGTGTGGGCTACATTCTCTGGGTGTGAAACAGCAAACTGAAATATACCTCTGGTGCTCAAATCTAGTCCCTAACAACGCAATATTACAATTTCTAGTAGTTACATTGTGTTTTCTACCCACATGTTGGGGGTTTTTTGTTGTTGTTTTGGTTTGGGTTTTTCTTTTGTTTTGTTTTTTTAACACAAAAGTCACTTCTGCTACCAGAATGCGACTATTAAGCCAGGGATGAAGGTGGCCACACATTAGAAAAATACCTTAGAAAAGAATACACTTCACATCCCTTAAAAGCAATTCAAACAACTTAACGTAGGTAAGTAAAGGTCCTCTCTTCTTGGCTACTTGAAGTAATTCTAACCTTTCTAAATGATTACAGTTAAAATTACAATCTATGCCAATTCATTTCAATAGCATTCTGGGACACCAACCACTCCTTGTGGTGAAGACTTGTAAAAGAAAAGTCAAGTTTCACACAGACTACATAATTAATAGCTGGAACATGAAGATAACTAGGCAAATCAACTATTATTTCATCAAAAATGAGCATATAAAAGTTAAGAAATATTATGTCTAACTTTCTATCTCTCAAAAAAAGGACTCAAAAAAAGTACGTACAATAAATTTTCAACTAAGCCTTGAAGTATATGAAGAGCTGACAGCCAAGAAAAGTTATCACACACATGAAATATCCAACAAATGCTCTAAAGAGGCAAAATTCTAAAGAGGTAAGTGGCAGTACTGTAGAAACAGTCAAATACAGTGCATTCACATGTTACTATTTTGTCAAAATATTTTTTCACTGGCAAATTCTGGTTTTGTTAACTCAAATTTAGGATAAATTCAACCAAGTTAACAATGGCAAAAGTACTAGCTTTTTCCATTTTTTTAGCATTCCTTTTTTCCCAATTTTTTTTTTTTTTAAATAAAACAATAAGTGATTTGGAACATTTTTTCAAGCAAAAAGTCTTTCTCTTTTTCTCTTCACCAAAGGACTGCTTAGAAACCCCACTCCTTCAAGATCTTATGCTGCATAGATATTTTGAAGTGTTTGACAGCAATCAATGGATCAAACCCAATCTCCCACTTCTGAATCTTCCTACAGAACACAAATTTGGTATTCCATCCAGCTAAGGTGCAATACCTCAGAAGAAGAAATATACAATTATTTTTCAATCAAGGTAAGTTTTCAGCTGCTGAAATGGACAAGTTACCTTAAATCAGAACAGACATCAAGATGCTGAACAAAAATATCAGTATCTGTGTATGTCATAACAAATGCGAATTTTAGGTCAATTCTGCAAGCAACTCTTAGCATACCAATGAAATGGCATAAAATTACTGCATTCAATTTGCTTAACTGTATAAAAGACAATAAAGAATTTTTTTAGCGCAACAGAAATAAAACACATACCTCACAAATGTTTTGTGTGTTATTCTGACATCATGTCCTTTGGGCTATCCTAGGCTATTCACATAGTCATATCTGATGTAATCTGAAAAGACATCAAAGTGATTAGTAAAGCGCTCTTGCTTCATCAGGAAAATAGTGTTAAGCACAAATAATATACATAGATAGCAGTACTTTGAAATACATTGCATGTACTTAGAGCAAACAAGCTTCTGATCAAGAGAAAAAAAAACAACTTTTAGATTACGCTATCAAAGAACAAACTATAAAACTCGAAACAGTGTTTCAAGTAACATATCTGTATTGTTCATTGTTTTTTAAGATGAGTTGGATATTCAGATTTTAGCATTACAAACTAATGATTCAAAGACCTACTACTTTTTCCTGTTTGCCACTCCTGTATGACTGGGAGCTAGAGTATGCAAAAAATAATAATCTTACTTGATTGTCTTCAGAGCTTACAGCAAGGATTTTGGTAGCAGATTATTAATAACAAGCATGCATGCATGCCACTATTTTTATAACTGTAAGATAAGATAGGAAAAAAAATGGTTTAACTCTGATTATTAGACCAAGCTATGGCCAATTTAAAATAAAGAAGCTACTCCTAGAATCTGTATATAAAAGAAAATGGCCCACAACTATGCCAAAGGGAGTATGCACTTAGAAAGTCCTCCTTACTAGAATTACACCATATAGGCAAATAATTACCATACAACTTATGATATATAAATCAGTAAAAGGACAAAATGCTAGGATAAGCTATTCTACCCATGCTTAATTTTACAATAAGAATGTTCCACAATCTTGAATCACATTCCTTCCTTTTCACAAGGTGGTAGTACTCAAATCCAACACAGACTGTGCGAAGTGAGAGAGCATCAGTAGTTTTAAAAGTGTAGAAGACTTCCTTTTTCATAATGAAAGAAGAGGAGGAATAACTTATTTTATTTAGAAAATCAGGTACTTCAACCACACTTCAAAGCTTGAAAATTTTAGCAGTTAATTTTTGGAAATCACCACATGGCATTTGCAGAAGGACTGCAGCACAAAGCCTTGAGTTAGATATCGAGTTGGGGAAGAGAATAGAAGAGATGTGGGCCTGAATTTCTGATTGGAAAGGTTAGTGACCACATACATGCTGCACAGAAAGTACTGCTGCACCGGTTTCTGGCAAATTAAGTTGGGGTCCCTGTTCTGCACAACAACAGAAGCACAGAATGGTCGGGGTTGGAAGGGACCTTCGGAGGTCATCTAGTCCAATCCCCCTGCCAAAGCAGGGTCACCCAGAGCAGATTGGACAGGAACGCATCCAGGCAGGTTTTGAATATCTGCAGAGAAGATGTCACAACCCCCCTGGGCAGCCTGTTCCAGTGCTCCGCCACCCTCGAAGAGCTGGCATTTCCTGTGCTCCAGTTTGTGCCCGTTTCCCCTTGTCCCGCCGCTGGGCACCACTGAAAAGAGGCTGGCCCCATCCTCTTTACACTCTCCCGTTAGATATTTATAAGCATTGATGAGATCCCCTCAACGTTGACTGCCATTGCCTTTGTCTCACCCAGTCCTACTGCTGCAAACTATAACATCCGTCCGGCAATTAAATTCCCAACATGTGATCAAGGAAGATTTTCTTGCTTTGTTTTATATAGTACAAAATAAATTTACTAGCTTGGAGTAGGAATTTCAAATTTGTGTTTGATTAAAGCTGGCTAAAGAAGTACCTAAGTTTATTTCTTCAGTTGTTTTATTTTTTAGTATTTAAAATAAGCTTTGTGACATGGAAGCTGCACTCTTATTTAGAAGGTTAATTTGAATTACTGTATTTTGAGAGTAATGTAAAGATTCTGATATATAACAGCTATAGAAAATACTAAGTCACTTACTTCTAAAGGAAAGCTTCTGAAACTAGCTTGTTACAAAAAAATACTCCAAATACAACATCACTGATGAAGTTCTCCGGTATACAATTTCAAATTTCCCCAATTCAAGAGGAATTATACTAATGCAGACGTCCCCTAAAAACGAGAAGCCTCTCGTCTTATTTAAACAAACTCATATATTCTATTGCAAGCCTAAAAGGTAATGCAAATGCTTATTACCCACATATAACTACATGAAGCTAGTGATTGCTTTCTGTTTTGCTTTATAAATAAGCTTTTATACTTTTGTTAAGTTTTCACAATATTGTGAAATCAACAATCATTAAGTTGTCATTGACATGGTGTTTTGTGGAAGCTAAGTAGAAACACACAAGAGGAAGACAGGTTGAGTGTATCACATTAATTTGCAGTGTCACCCACCCATTCTCTGAGGCGAAGATGACAAGCAATAGAAGACGACACGCTAAGCCTCTGCAGGTGAAATGTTAAAGTCAGAGTAATCATTTGAAATTGTTAACAGAAAATTCATTGACAAGACAGTAACACGATTTGTTCAGTCAGTTCCCTCATCCTAAATGCAATTCTGTGCAAAATTTCAGTGTTTATCATAGCCTCATCAGTTATGGGTCTACACAGAAGTGCCACCACAGTTCAGCTCTTGCGAGAATAATAGATTTAGTCACTCTCATGTGATTTCTCCCTCCCCTTCCATCTCCCCTGCTCCTCTATGTTGTTCTCCTCTCCAGCTGCCTACACCATTATCCCCCACCTTGGTCCCCTTCAAGGGGAAGAGGATCAATGTTTGAAAAGCACTTAGACTTTATGAAGAGCTACGCATCCCCACTGAGATGCTCACAGCTTTCCTCTAGGCTATTAATTTATTTGCTTCAGTGCCTGTCCTAACCAAATTTACATTGAGTCTTTGTTGTATGCTTAAAGCACAGAACTCCAGGACAAAGCATGACACTTTAATCTCCAATATACCAAGCAACACTTCTTAATTTAACAGCTTAAAAATCTTTATCTAGCACTGAAAGATAAAACTAAATTATTTAATGGTTCAGGCAAGACGTCATCTGTTTGCATTTTAAGCCTAATTCGATGCCATTCTACTCTTAGATGTTATTTGAAATTCTCAGGTTGAGAATGTCTCATCTGACCTGCACCTCATTATTAATAAAGCGTAGGCCCCAAATGCAGATATATTATTGGAATAAAAAGAATTTTTGAAGCAGTTACATTACAAACTCATAATCACTGGAAAAATGGTATTGTAAAATGACCATGCCTAAGATGTTTTTAGCTTTCTAATGGGGCTAAAGAAAATCCACTGCAACAGCAAATCTCCTTTCTCTAAGTTTACTAGAAGGAGGTTACCAAGGGCATTAGGAAGACAGATGATACAATACAACTATTGTACCATGAGGCCCTTGCATTGTCAATGAAAAAAAGGGCATTTCAGGGTTAAGCACAGTCCTTTTCCCTGCCTTTTTTTGAGGAAGAAAGGAAAAACATTGTTGTAGGAAAAATATCTAATTCTTCTTTTTTTTTTTTTTTTTTTTTCCAAAAAATCCCCAACAGATAATCAGGTAATAATTTATATACATGCTAAAAATCTATCAGCTCTCAAAGCCTCAATCTTTTTTGGTCGCTTTTTCCTTCAACCTGTACAATGAACAGTTCCTAAGATTCCTCATATTTCAGCTACAAGAGAGTAAAGAGAATGCTTTTATTTCAAAATTTCTGATTGTGTACTGGTAAGTCAATAGTTGTAGGGACACTAACAGACATTACACACTAGAGTAACAATCCCACAGCGCTTACATACGACGGAATTAAATCCTACCTAGAAAGCACAGCATTGATGGCAAATCAAAATCACAAAACTGTAGTCTCATTAAAAGGTTACAGTGTAAACGTTACAGTGTAAACATTAAATACCTGCAAAAATTTTAAGTAAACCAAATGGGCACACCTACTAGCGCATCCAATTCCATGGGCAATTTGGACAATTCATGGCAGACAAATAAATATCCATCAGATAATGTCTAGACATAATCACGCCTAATTCAAGTGAGTAACCCACTTTTTATTACAGATACCTGCAACCAAAACTGCAAAGCCATTTAGTAAGTAAACTGTGGCTTGTTTCAACTTCCCAGTGACTGGTCTAGCAATCAACTTCACAGCAAACAAATAAAACTACTCCAATAACTACATCAATCAGTAACTGTACTGCAAACCCTTTAGCTCAGCCCCAACAACAGGTTAGCTCTGTACAAGGAAGCTCTGCTAGGTACCAGGGCTTCAAGGCTGAACTTCCCCACCAACCGTAACACGCGTAAGAACTGCCAGAGTAGCAAGTATTCAGAAAAACCAGTCTGTCAACTACTACCCCAATTTAGCCCTGCCAGACTCAACTTTTGCTATCTGTGTGTAATTACAAAGAGATATGCCCATTTTCAACAGTCTGGGACATAGGTAACACAGTGCACACACAACTCTGGAAAAGAGCAACTGAACTAGTTTGTGATGGCAACCCATGACACAACCCCCAAAGTGTTATTATCAACTTATCCCCAAATCTATCTCATACCCACAGCGGCCTAGCTCATCATCTCTAAATCCTTGGTGCTTTTGCTCTAACTTCATATATTTTATACCATATTTATCTCATGAATTTCTTGTTTATGCCTTGTAGCCCTTCTTAGCACTGACCTATATCTTCTCTCCTGCAGGCATAGTGACACTTTACAGTGGAAACATGTAAATAACGTGATGCTGTTTACATACGAACACCTGGCAACAAATTCAAGAAACAATCTTCAGTAAGTATGTATTGAAAACAACCAAGTTTTAAGCTATTGTAATGATTCTCCTTATGCCCGTCTCTTACTAAACAAGAAGTGCCAGGCCATAGGAACACACTGGAATTGTTTCTTTTCAGCTCTGAAAAGGGGGTATGCTTCTTCTAAATAATCTCAGAAAAAGGTTATATAGAAGAAGTACTTAAGCACAAGTACAGATGTCGAACTGGGAAGCTGGTCATCTAATTACTTATGTCCTTATTCCAGTGGCATCTTTATAAGCATCTTCAAAACCCAGCAATGAGAATTCAGGGTAAAACAAGTTACGCAAAACGAAAGAAAAAAAACAATCTATACATTTCTTCAGAACACATTTATAAAAAGTATTAAAGAGCTTTTATAT